TATGAGCTTATAGGATCTGCTCCTCCCCCTGTTCCCACAGCCACAACAGCTCTAAAGCCTCACATACAGGTGGCTCTGAGCTGAGGGACTCAGAAGGCAGATACAGGGCTGGAGGTAGGCTCAGAGCCTGAACTTCAGTTGGAGGTGTACTGAATGCCCTTAGCACAAGGGGGCCTGGAGGGAAGGGAGCAAGGAGGGATTGGGGTCATGGTGGGAGAGGGGTAGACTTTGGAGGCTAGAGCTGGCCCTTAAAAAGCAAAAATCCTCAACACACACACACACACACACACACACACACACACACACACTCAAGACTTTTCACCTTCTCAAGTAACCCTCTCAGGAACAGATGGAAAATGCTCATGGTTGAAGTGATACCTGTTCTACATGGACTTAATGCTTGGCTCTCCCTGGCTCTCACACCACCCTGCCCTGCACAATTGGCACATGGACATCATTGCACCCATCCTCAGTCTTGCTCCGTCCTCTGCAGGACATTTGCACGTGCTGTTCCCTCTCCCCGGAACACAGATCTCCTCTCAACCCTCTTTCCATTTGGCAATTCTTTTTGGCTCCTAAGCTCTTTCTTCAGGAAATCTCCCAGAGGTCCACCCCCACAGAGCCAGCCTGCAGTGAGTCCCTCTTCTGGTCTGTCTCAGAGCACGCAGGGGGAGTGGTCGACAGTGTTTGCTCACTGTCCCTGTGCCTCCAAGGAAGAACATGGAATTTGGTAAATAGCTGAGAAGGATTGAAAGTGTGACTACATAAATGCAGTTAAGAAGGCAGCTGTTAAGGGAAGGCCTTCCCTACCTGTCTCCCAGCTCCTGTTGTTGTCTCATGGAGCCTTCATATGCCCAGGATCATGGATGTGGCACAAGTCACACAGCAGCTTGGACTCTGGGAAAAGCAGCTCCCTCGGGGACATCACCTTACCACTCAGCCACCCAGTATAGCACAGCGGTCCTGAGGAGTGGTGGTAGAGCCCTGCTGTCCACTGTCAGCCCGGACTCCTGGACTCCTCCCTCCCCTTGAACCTGGGGTCCTGATAGATACTTCATGTCAGCTCAGTGCAAGCACTAGAGACACTGCAGGTCTTCATGGTGGGAACTGATGGTCAGGATTCCCTTTTCCCATCCTGCAACTGAGCAAACTGAGGCAAAGGGAAATACAATCCAGTGCTCAGGGTTACACCCTAAATAGAGGCAGAGTTCGGTGTCTGCACTCTTTCTACTTGGTTATGCTGCTCATAGCACTTTCATCCTGAATGCAGAAAGTAACCTTAGAAATAAAAGCAATTTCATTAATAAATCCCTAAATTTGTTTTGGGAGCACTAACCATGGAATAGACAAAATGTTTTTTACTTATTACATGTTTCTAATTTTGTTTGTTCCTGTGCTCTCACTAAAAGTAGTACAATGAAATTGTTACAGAATTCCCTTATTTTTTTATTGCTCATTACATCAAGTTTCCTTTGCTCCAGATGACCCCAAATCACTGGCATGTTGGGTTTGGAAGGGTGGCTGAGAGCAGAGACCCCTGGCAAGTATGGGTCAAGGCAAGTGGGCTGGGCCAGCCCTGGATGTCCTGCTCCATTCTCTCCTAGGTGACTCTGCAGCAGCAACCCTGATTTTCCTGGCACCTGCCCACCATGTAGCCTGGGCTGTGCTCTGCATTGACCATTTTTTCTAAAGTAGTCCCTCCTGTAGGTTGTGCTTCAGCTTCCCTTGGCCTCAAGCTTATTCATATCCTTCAATGTGTGTTTGTTAGGCGAAGCCATGTTTGAGTGGCTGTCACAGATTCTGTCCACACAGCCAGGGTGGACCAGGTTATGCTGCAGCCACCTAGGAGCCCAAGCCTGGGGACTCAATCCAGCCAAGCTGAATTCTCACTCACTCTCCATGGCCTCCACAGGATGAGCAGAGCCTCTGCCATCCTGGTGACACAGAGACCAAGCAGAGGGAGGCTTCATGTCCTGTCCCTATTTTGGGTCTTCTCACTCCAGAGTTCCTTTAATCATTCCTCATATGACAATGTCATTCTTTAGTGTGATACAACCAGTACCAGTCAGAGGACTCCTACTGCCACCAGAACGCCTGCTGTCAGTGTCTAGCTGAATAAGCAGACCCTGAGCCTTGCCAAGTGCCAACCTTTGAGGGAAAGGGAACAAGTGATACCAGTGTGTTTCTGTTAGAGCGCATACAGAAGCAAGTGCTTCACCCCTGAGGGATTCCAGCCTGCTAAGCTAGCTGAATGTGCCTATGTGGAAGAACGCCCTCCACTGGCCCAGGACCCAGTCCCAGAAGCATTACCAGGACAAGGGACTCCAGAGAACACAGCCATTTCATGAGTTCTCATGGAAACATGGCTGGGTAGATACAAATCCTCATGTTCTCAGATGAGGACAGAGAGGTAGAGGACAATGTCACATGGCCTGCTCTCTCCAGTACATCCTACCCAATCCTATAGTAAGTCTTCTGCCCTCCTGGCTTGTGGGCTGTGTCCTTGTTGGGAAGGGAGCTCACCTCATTGAGAGAGCCTTTCCCTGAGTCAGTCCTATGTCCAGGAGTCACCACATAGCCTTCACTATTGCTGAGACTCATTCAGGAGCTGTCCTGGCTCTTAGTCACTGTGTGATCTCCTTGCTGCACTGCCTAGGAAAACCTGTCCAGGACAGTGACAGAAGACCTCAGCCTGCTGGAAGTTGGAGCTAGTTGGTCATTTTTCAGGGCTCTGCAAAGGGTGTGAGGTGTATGCTGACTCATTGCTTACTGATATCCATCACCATGAGGTAGTACTTTTCCAAGGTGAGACCTGGGCCTCAGTCTTCTCTGTCCCCAAGATAAAGCATGTGACTATGAGTTTGTTGTTTGAAACATGCCTGTCCCATGGTCTTATAGAATGGATTATTATACAAAAATTATGGGATTCCATTGTTTTAGGCTGAACTCCTGCACCAGGACCAGCAGATCAGACCAAAGTGGAGTCACTCATGCTAAACATCACATAATCAAGGTGAAACCTATTGAAGCAAACAGCCCCAGAGCAGAGTAGTGTAACAAGGATGTCTACCCCACTTTCACCCTACCTAAAGAAGCATCCTCTACTACCCTGGTGTTAACCAAGCCATTTTCCCCTACTGTTCTATTTCGTTATTCACACCTTACAAAACCCAGTGCTCTGCCATTACCCAGTAAGAGCTTTCATTCTGTTTTGTAGAGTGGAAGCTGCCTCCCCATTCGTGAACCACAAATGAGAATCCATTAGATATATAATGAATTTTGTTGTTAGTTTGGTTTTTGACAGAATCAAGAGAGTTCCTGGGGAGAGCTGCATTGCCTGTTTCCACCAGGGAGATCTTAAGCCCCTGGCTCTTGTCAGTATAAATATAGGGCTCAATGGTGCCTGCTAGAGCAAGGCATGTACTTCATGCCTAGTTTCCATTACTCAGGCTGACCTCTAATTCTTGTGCTCTCACCCTGCAGTGCAGAACATGGAAGGTTACTTATCTGTCATCCCTGGCTGAGTTGGGAGCCTGTTCTGTTTCCCTCTCATCTGTCCAAGAGCACAATGGGGTCCCTACCTGTAGAGGGTGCCTTGCATGGATCACTAACACCCTGCGGTTCTGTTGCCAGCTGGTGTCAGGGCAGAGCAATGAATGTCATTTGGACAGGGAGGAGAGAGTTGTGAAACACAATGCCCGCCATGGGGACTGGGCAAGTGTGGGCAGTGGCCAGCCAGGCCTGAGAGGGAGAAGGCCTGCTTTCCTGGCCCACATGGGGCAGCTCAGTTAAGCTAGTGGAACTTAACTTCTCAACCTGTAAATTGGGGATTGTGATTTCCAGGAGACAGGTGTGCGGAACACACTAGACAGTGAATACATTTTAAAAACCAGACAAAGCTGAGAATTTAGCACTGTCCTGCCCCTGTGTGGCCACAGTCGTGGTCCTCATGACAAGGTTGTTGGGTACTCAGTCATCCTAACTGGCCCCTGTTGGTTCTAGGAAACCAGTGAGCTACCCTCTGGGGTTTTCAGCTGGTTGGATTTGGGTGTCTCCCACAGAGTCCTGATCACTGAATGGCAGACATGAAGTGACAGTGTCCGAGGTCCCTCAGACCCTTTCCTGCCTTATAGTCAGGACTACAGCCACCTTGGCATTAGCACATTTCTTCCCACACAATGCCACTTCGGGGTCACTGTGGAGTTCATTCAGGTTGCTGCTCAGGGTTGGTTGCTAAAACATTGGAGGAACAGTACTAGAAGCATAGCTGCTCCAAGCTGGGTAGCAGTGGGTTTCCCAGGGAAACAGCTCAGCAAGAGCCTCAGGGACCAGAGACCCCCACAGGTTAGAGGAATCCTCTGTGTGGGGCCATTGTGGTCCTGGAAAGGGCAGGAGAGTGATGGCCGATGGTTGGGAGGAGCAAGTAGAGCCTAGGAGGCCAGTTTTGCCATTTAGTAGCTATGTGACAGGGCAGGAGAGAAGCAGTCTCCTCGGACCTGTTTTCTCAGCTGTGAGCTACGCAGATGACAGCTGATCAGCACCAGCATCCTGAGGCAGCCATGAGGATTATATGAGGGAAAGCTGGGAAGAAGTTTCCAGTGTGTCTCAGTTATAGCAGCTCAGAAAGGCCAGCAACAAGCAAGGCCCTGGTGGCTCACACCTATAATCCTAGCTACTTGGCAGCTAAGATCGAGAGGATTGTGATCTCAGGCCAGTCTGGGCAAAAAAAAAAATTTGCAAGGCCCCACATCAATGGGAAAAAAAAGCTGGAAATGGTGGCAGGAGTCTGTCATTCCAGCTACAGCAGGAAGCCTAAAATAGGAGGATTGTGGTCCAGGCCAGCCTGGGTGAAAAGCAAGACCCTAACCCCAAAATAACCACAGTATAAGGGCCGGAGGCATGGCTCAAGTAGTAGAGAACCTGCCTAGCAAGTGCAAAGCAAAGCCCTCAGTTCAAACCCCAGTATCGCCAAAAAAGAAAGAAAGGCAAGCCGCAGAGTCCCTTATGCCCAAGCCTGCTCTGGTGCATTTGTGAAAGCTGTGTCAGTACCCAACTTGCACAGTTGTACTATCGGTGATAAGTAACCGGGGCTCAGAGAGATTTGCCAACTCCACTCACTCATGCAGCAGGACTTGTCAGAGTCTAGGCTTCAGACCCTCAGTGTTGGATTGTTTCTGGGGAATGATAATGTTCAAATCATCGTAAGCTGTGTGACTACTCTAAAGGGAACATGTCACTTGTTGATGAAACATTTGGGACCAGCAAGAGACTGAATCATATGAAATCACACAGATGTGACCATTTAGACTTAGAGAAATGACAGCTTCATGGAGATCCATGTGGTACTTTCTGTCCACATTCCTCCCATGACAGGACGGGCAGGAAGCCCTAGATCAGTTTGTGATGAACAGCAAACTGACGGGCAGGAGAATCCTGGGGGAGCCTGGCAGCAGTTGCCTTTCACTAGAGCCCATGGACTTCTGGCTGCCGCAGGCTTTTAGTAGGGCCAAGGAGGACGGTAAGGGGCTGCCTGGCCCTTATGACAAGGGCTGCTCCTAGGTAGCCTCCTGCCATGGCATCAGACCTATGGTTGTCCCTGGAAGATGACAGGGAAGACCATGGGGGAAAAGCCTGATTCATGTGGCCCCAGAAAGGACTGAGTCCATGGAGCGTCCACAGGTGCTGTCCTTCTTCTCACAAAGCCCACAGCCCTTCCCTGACCTTTCAGAGCCACGCGGGGCACCGTGATCACATGATGACAGAGGCTGAGACCAGAGCCCCTTCTGCTCAGTGGGGAGAAGGGCCTGCTGTACAGAGATGAGAGGCCTCCAGAGAGAGGTGGATGACAAGGACAGACAGCACTTGGTGTCCTGAACAGCCCTGTGGGGGAAGCCTCCTCTAGCCATTATCAGGAAATGCTCAGGACGAATAAGGTGCCAGGCAAAGTGAGGTGACAAAGTGGGAGAAGGGACATGGTCTCCCTTTAGTGACAGTAGATACATCTGCAATGCCAGGGCAGGAGCTAGAGGCTCTGGGAGCCATAGGAGGGCGTCATGGGGTGGGTGTGGCTATCTCCAGCAGAGACACCAGTCGGGGGCTAGTGGGCAGTGGAAAGGATTCTCAGAAGGTTGTGGCTGTGTGGTGGGTCCTGGGGCCTAAGGATCCCTCCAGGATTCCCAGACTGATTGGAATTATGGGAAACAGATAGTTCTAGGGCTATAGGATGTGGTCTCAGCAAGAGTCCCCCTGGCTCAGCCTGTGCCTGTCCAGCACAGGAACCTCATGAATGTGGATGCAGAAGATAGTGACAGACACTGTAACTTGGAGTCCACATACAACCTGAGGGCACAAAGGACAACACAGAGACCACAGGGTGAGGGATTTGTAGGTCATACTCAGGCATGGGCCATGGTAGCCTGTGTTTAATATCCAGGGAGGGAATCTGGCCTGGAGGGAAAGACTGGAGCCTGAGAGCAGTTACTCTTGGGTGGGGTCCACCACTCTGCCCACAAAGAGGGGACTCTTAGTGTGTGTGTCATATATTAGAAAGAGGAAGGGTCGGTCATATTTTATCTCTTGGGGCACAGACATGGGCATGGCTTCCAAAATGGTGGTGCCTGAGGCCTCTGTCCCTTTCTCATCCAGGGTCAGCACAGCCTTATGCACGGCCTGGAAGGAGAGAAACAGAGGCAGATTATGACCTGTGTTATCCCCACTCAGGGTGGCAAGTCCCATATGGGAGGCTCCTCTAGGGAGGACCTCACGAGGTCCTATCTCTCCTGGATGGCCCTTCTTGCCCACAGCCCTTCCCTGCTTGGTGCACAGGCTTTTCTCTGTGTCAGGCCTTTACCTGACTTGTATGCTCTCTTCTGTCCTCTATATACAGCCCACAGCTTCAGAGAGGAGACCGTTTGCACTCCATGCCTCGGGCACATGGCCGCCTTCCATTGTGCAGTTATGAGCTCCTTGGACTCTGACAGTAGCCTTCACTGCCCCATCCCTACTGTGTGCAGCCCATGTCAAATTGCTGTCATTCTTGCTCTCTTAATTTCCCTGAACAAATGGCCGTTTGATTGAACTCACTAAGTTAGATTTGGTGAGGCACTAGTAGACCTAAAAGTCACAGGTCGAGAATTCCAGAATATTCTCTGAGGTCACTAAGCCTAAACTTTTTTTGTGTGAATATGTGTAAACTGAGGTCCAAGGAATCAAGGGCCCTGAGAAAAGATGAGACCAAGGGTCAATAGGCATCTCCTGGGAGGTCCCTAGAACACCAGTATCATGGGAAGTCACCTCCCCAGCTGTGTCCTTTGATTCTCTGTCCAGGTGTATCCCAAATGTCCTTGGTAAGAACTCAGCCTGGACCTAATTTGTGTCCCTTGATTCCTTCCTCAGCCTCATGCCTGAACTCGTCCCTTCCACCCTATTCTACATAAAAGATACCTGGGCCAACATCTTAGTCAGATGACCTCACCTTGGAGAGCTTCAGCGGGACATCTTCTGTGACCCCCGAGAGGTCGGCCTTATTGGTGAAGACGTTGGTGATGCCCAGTGTGTTCAGGGTTGTTTTCAGGTCATAGGTTCCAGAAATGGACAGTTTGGGGAAATGTAAATTGGCAGATCTAGCATGCAGGAAAGATCACAAAGGAGTTTTAGAGCATTTCTCCTGTTCTTCTGAGACCACCGTATCTTTCTTTCTGTTTTTGTCTCTCATTTCTCTCTCTGTCTCTCTGTCTCTATCCACAGAAGGATGGAAGGTGCCTTGGTATGTTGTTACATCTTCTATACCTTGTGTCACTGATATCATCTTGCCCTGGTATTCCCTAAATCCCACTGCCTCTGAGAAGCCCTCCAAGCAGATTCAGCATGTCTTCCTATTCAGCTGAGTGACACCCACACCACGAACAACAGAAGAGGGATCACCAGACTGAAGCCTCAGCTCCAGTTTTCTAGGGGGGAAATTTGAGGCCCCAGGTGGGATCCATGCTGAAGGGGCAACTGGCCTTTGGGTGCTATGACCAGGTCCAGTCTCAGCTGCGCCTTGTTCTCTGTCTCAGCCCAGGTGCAGGGGCGTCAGGGAGAGATGGGGCAGCATGGTGACAGCTCTGTTCACAGTGCTGCTTCATGCCTGCTTGTGTTTTCATGTCTGTCTTACAGTGTTCACCACATAACAGTGCAGCAGGGCTTGGGTTCATTGACCAATGTGCACTGACTGACCTGTGGACCAAGTTCAAGGACTCTTGGCTCCTGGGGATCTGGTAAACCACTCTGAAGAGTGATGAAGTGGAGCCTACTGCACTGGTGCCTGTACTCTCAGGGGTTGGCCTTTTCCTGGCCTGGGCCTTTCTCTGCAGGCTCCTCCTCATCTACCCCTGGAACAGCCACCCTGAACTCCACATTGACCCGTGCCAGTTCTTGGACTCCATCTCAGTTCTTGGCTCTGCCTTGGCAGGTGCCGCTGTTGCTGCCCCTATGCTGTGCACTGGATATTGGGGAAAGTCTATGTCCTGTGGAGAAGGAAGTCCCCCCAAAACAGGGTCTGTGTTTCCTCACTATAAGCTCTCTTTCCTAGAGCCTGGCAGGTGCTGGCCTGTTTCTTTAAGCACAAGGTCACGCATGTACTTAGCTGTGGCCAAGGGTGGGGTCCCTCCTCCACTGCCACTGCCTGTCCTGATGGGTCAGTCATGAGTTGGCTGAAAGCTCTGAGCCCTCTGGGGTGGGTTCCTAGCTAGAGAGTCACCTTATCTCCCTGTTATCCAGGAACTTGGCAATGAAGTTCTTGGTGAGTGTTGTCTCCAGGTGTGGCATTTTCCCCTGATCTGGCAGGAAGAATAAGGCAGTGGCGTTGCCCAAGTAATCCATCAACAGCACCCAGCTGGTGAGTGTGCTGCAGTAACGGTAGTCAAACATGCCCAGGCGGGACATCATGGGCACCTTCACGGTGGTGGCCTCGTCCACGTGGAAGTCCTCTTCCGTGGTGTGCTGAGGATCGAACGGTTTCTCCCATTTGCCTGGACAGAGTGTAGGTGGATAGCAACCAGACTGGGGTTAGGTTTAGGTAAGTGAGATAGAATAGAAGAGACCTGAGTCTCTTTGGTGAGGTGCTCCTTGGAGCCTCTGTTTCTCCACATGCAAAGGATTCACTCAGCCTTCCCAACCACTGGGAGGACATCAGTGGGGACAAATTCAAGACTAGAGGAAGATTCCAGCACTTCTAGATCAGACAAGGTAAAAGACGCCATCCTGACTATGACTAACACACATTTGTATTGGGTGACAGGACTGTTTCAAGGTGGGATGGGGATTCCAGATAGAAATTGCTGGCACAATCATATTTTGGTATCCCCTCATAGGAGGCTCCATTCACCTTGTGAATTGGCACTTCAGTTATTTCTTGGGGCAAGCCTTCTGGGCATCCTCAGTCCTTACCTGGGCACACAGGTGAAGTGCTGATATTCGGGCAGCCTTAGAACTGCTGTACAAGAGCGCCCACCACCAAGACTGTCAGAGTGAGCTGGTGCCTAAGGGGACTCTGAGTTCATCTCCTGATTGAACAGGGGGAGGCAAGGCGGCTGGGAAGGGTATAAGACTTGACCCCATGTCACAGCAGAGCTGGAACCTCAGTTGTTCTCACTGGGACCCAGGGTCTCGGCTCTGTCTGAGGAAAGGGAGCTAAGGTGGGAGGAGCAGTCCCATGGCCTTGACCCCTACTGCCCTACCACTGGCCATTTCCCTAATCAGAAGCTACCTTAGAATTTGGAGACCACAGTTTACTGAACTAAGCACTCATAGACAGGAGTGTAGGCTGAGGATCAAGGTTAGTTTATCAGCTGTTTTGCTCTACACTGTTCCTTGGGCTGTGTAACTTTATAAGTTCTTTTATGACTTGACAACAATAGTATTATTTTGTACGGGATAAGATAGGATTGTTGCCTCCCAAAGAGGTAAAGTAGCTTGTCCAATGTCAAGACTAATGACGGTAGAGACAGAATTTAAACCTGTGCCCTGTGCACTCCATAGTTCATACTGTTCCATGTCAGAAGAGTTGTCCAAAGCAAATGCCATGAAATTCTACTCCCTTCACATCCCACCTACTACAACTTGTATTTCTGGCTCTCTGTTTGGCCAAACAGGGCATATTCTATGTCCTTCTCTTGTGGGGACTTCCAATAAAATTAGGACAATAAAAGGCTCTGACTTCTGAAGTCATTGATCTTGGCTGCTGAATTCATTATTACCACATTTAATCAAAATGTAATGAAAAATACAATGCATGTGAGATTGAAGGACCTGTAGTGAGATGCACTGCCCAGACCAGTTGTTAAGAACTGGCCTTTTTAACACTCATGTACAGGAAAGCAACGTGAGTCATCTTCCTATATAGCTATCTTTATCTCAACTAGCAAAAACCCTTGGTCCTTCCTATTATTGCTTATACTCTCTCTTCAACAAAATTAGAGATAAGGGCAAAATAGTTTCTGCTTGGTAGTGAGGGGTTAGGGTGGGTAACGGAGGGGGCGGGGGAAGGGGGGAGAAATGACCCAAACAGAGTATGCACATATGAATAAAAAAAAAACTGGCCTTTTGAGAATATGTTTGGATGTTTCCATGGGAACCAGCTCATGCTGGTTGTACAAGCTTACCTTTAAAGAAAATGTAATTCACCAGGGCTAAAACTGTGTCTTTGTCCAGTTCTTTCACCAAATCCACGATTTTTCCTTGGGTTTTCTTCTCCACATAATCATTGATCTGCTTCTTGGCCTGTTCGGAGTCATTGAAGTTGGTGGCAAAGGCTTCTGAGTGGTACAGGTTCTTGACCTCCTCGGAAAACTTATCCAGCAGCTTAAGAGTCTTGTCAACAAACAGACCATTGCCGGTGGTCAGCTGCAGCTGGTTGTTTGGCCTGTTGAGGGTTTGGAGGAGATTCTGGAAGCCTTCATGGATATTAGCTTCCTCTGTCTCTGTGAGGTTGAATTCCAGCCCCTCCAGGATCTGGGTGTGAGTGTCACCCTTGGTCCCTAGGGAGAGCATGGCCAATGCCGTGGCTATGCTGACAGGGGAGAAAAAGATGTTGGTGGTATTGGACTGGTGGGCCAGCTCCCGGTACAGGCTGAAGGAAAACTTGGCCAGGTTGGGGGCGATCTTGTGGCTGGCGGGGTGCTCCTGTTTGTGTTGGGATGGATCTGTCTCCTGAGCATCTTCAGCCAGGGAGCAAGGGAGCAAGCAGCACAGGCCTGCCAGCAGCAGGAGGCCCCAAGAGACAGAGGACAGCATTGTCCTATAAGACACAGAAGGGGACACAAGCCCTTAATCACTCCCATTGGCCACTGGGCGACCCCATGCAAAATCAACCACAGTTTGTCAAACATTTGATGGTGCCCAGCATATGTCAAGCACTTTCTCATATTGTCATCATTGAAGAAATTCAGAGAAATAGCAAAAACAGGAATGATGCTTTCTATGTTCTGAGCACTCACAACTATGAGCAAGTTACTTTGGCAGTCCTGTGTGGGGAACGGTCACTATCTTCCAGTTACTGAGGAGTAAGTCCAAGCCCAGAGAGGTTAAGGCCCATGTCCAAGGTCAGTGAGCAAGTAGAGTAGCAGAACGAAATCCACAGCTGGCAGCGTGGGGCCTCAGCCATTGCTTTGCACTTGGTCATTGCACTTGCATTTGTAATGGACTCAAGGTGCAAGTGACTGCTCTCGTGTTACAAAGAGGAAAGAGGCACTGGTAGAGAAGTGGCCTTTCCCATAATTACAAGGAAGTAGGGTGGGATCAGGATCAAGAGTCACTTTGAGCTGGAACAGCCTGTGGAGGACTTCCACTGAACCCCATTATTGAATGGTTGAGAGTCTGTTATAACACAAGGAAGCGTCTTATGGCACAGCACACAGAGAGGGAGCACAGTGGAGCTGTGATGATGCTCCTGGAGGGCTGTCCCCACTCGATACTCACATGAGCCTCAGCCCCTAGTGGCTTTACCTGAACGGGGTTGTGCCTAATCTGTTCTGTGACCCCAGCCACAGGTTAGGCTGACGGCCCTGCAGGCAACTCACCCTTTCTCCTGCCAGCAGTCATGTTCCATTTCTAGGGGAACTAGAGGTGCTCATTTCCTCTTTAATGTGGTGGCCGGGAGCTGAAAATTCATCTCGTTTAGCTTTAGTTCTAAGTTCTATTCTAGGCTTTGTCTCTCGTCAACTGTGTGAATCAGAAGTCACTGAAACCCTTTGATCTCATTTTGCCTCATATATAAATGGGTTTCCGGGGGAAATTCAGTGAAATCAGGCTGGACATCAAACCTTCCATGGAAGGCTCTCAGAGGGTTGTCATTGCAGGGAGGAGAGGACAGATGTTGCAAACTCAAACCTTTAGGTGACAGCCAGGTGAGCAAAATGTGTTTCATGGCTTGTGTGAGGCAATCGGGCAAGGCCTGTGCTGAGCCAGGGAGCACACCCTATGCTTAGAGTTGGTTACAGAAAGTCACCCAACATGAGCACAGAGCCGCCTTGCCCCCACAGCTCCCTCTCCAACTGATATGCCCAGACCATGAATCACAGTCTGCAGCCCCTACATACAACCTGCTTGCTTTACAGATGGAGAAACTGAGGTAAGAGCTGCAGAGAGCTGCCTATGGCCACATAGTTAGCTACTGTCCCATAACTAATACCACTGTCTTCATAGAACATAGAGCAAAAGGCGTCCTGGATAGGATGAACAGCCTGCGGGCTAAGCTGGGAATAAGAATAGTTGGAGCTTGTCTGCACCCACGACCTATTTTAAAAGTCAACAAAGCACAGCACACAACACCCTTTTGTCTGGCCTTCATATCTTTAAATAATCCCCAAAGAACAGAATACATATTACATAATACACGTTATTTTCCTTAAACTAGCCAGTGAGAGTTTGTTCTCTATATTTCTGTCTCCTGTCACTTCCTTTCTGGAGTTTGGTGCATCCCTAAGGAAATTTCCCATCTTCACAGGGCTCAACCATCCAGAGGGAGTTGGGCTTCCTTTTAGGGAGGGAAAGGAAACATGCGGAGTGGCCCCAGGGTCAGAGGCCATGGCTTCCAGCTGGATAGGACCACTGCTATGCACTAGGCTCTGAGCAAGCACGTGAGTTGCACTGTCCCAGGCCTCGCTCTCCCTAGCTGTGTGACGGGGAGCTGGGACAGACATAAATGAATGACTTTAAGTGCAAATGTTGGACTCTTCACTACAAGAGGATTGCAGTTTATTGGAGCAAAATGGACTGAGGGTGTCACATGGGAGGGTTGGGATGAGATGTCCTCCTAGTTGGAGGTTGCTGGGCTCTAAGGAGACAAGGCTGGTGTGGGAGAAGGTGGAGGGGGGTGGCAGCTGGAGTGAGCACACCCCCATCTATCATCCCTGTGTCACATCACCCACTCTGGTTTTCTCTTTTTACAGGGAAGGATCTGAGAGCCAGAGAGGGTACGGCGATGCTGCACAGACAGTAGGTGACAAAAAGCCTTGGCTTTTCTGTCACTTCACCAGAGACTGAAATGGCCACGTGCTTCTCATAGGTGGCAGGATTGGCTCTGACATTTAGCTCAAGCATGCAGTTAGGTTATTTTGCATCCTAGTCTATTCCTTCAAACCTCAGAGTCCTGAGACCTGCTGTCTCTTTGCTCTTCTGTCAGAGAGGCCCCTGATTCCCCAACGCTGTGAGCCAGGGAAGCTGAAGAGGAGAAGCAGCTGTAAAGTCCTAATGGACAGACACAGAGGTTATGCTTTCAGCCAAGACACCGATATGGTGCAGTGACAGTTCCAGAATCCAAGTTGGGTGGGAGGGGTCTTTTTGAAGGGGGGTTGGGGACAACCTAGAATAATCCTGCGGGCCCAGGGAGGAGACTGCAGCATAAGGTCACAATCTGTTGATATCCAGGTGTGACCCAGCCCTGCCACTGCGGGGTGCCTTGAGGCAAATGACTTCACCTGTTTAAGCCTCACTTCCTGTCTGCACAGTTTGAATCCTGGGTGGGTGTGACTTGGGACAAGCTATTAACCTCTCTGTTCCTTATTTCTTCATTTGTAAATGGGAATAACCATAGTAAGCACCTCACCAGGGACTGAGAGATTTCAACACTCTGGATTTAGGGCAGCTGGCAAAGAGCCCTCACCTGGGAGGGTCAGCCCAAGCCTTCAATGAAGGATGGTGTCCTGGTCTTCCATCCCCAGTGACATAGGAGTGCTCACAGGCCACTATGCCTGGAAAGCCATCGACACCTGCAGGCTGAGACCCTGCACAGATCTGTCCTGGGTGTATTTGGAAAGGTGGGAGATGAACCTGGGCCCCTCTCTGGCTTTACCTTTTTCATTGGTAGAAGGAGCAAAGGCATACACTGCGCCCCAGCAGTGCGGGCAGGGGGTGTGGAGAGAATGGCAGGAGCCATGTAGGCCCCTGGACAGGCAGAAGCTGTGCACACAGAACCCACTCCTAATGCAGCTCAACTGCATCTTAACTCCCCAGGCTCATGGCTGTGGGGCCAGACCCCCTCCACTACGTCAGTTACTTAGAAAGAGGTACTTGCCAGGTCCTGGGCAGGTTTGGGAGTAGGAAAGGACCTCAGATGCTGCTGTTACTATGACAACAGGAGGCCCAACTGTAGTCAGCTCTGTCTCCCTTGAATCTCTCTGGGCTCCAGGCCTGCTGCCTGTCTGGGCAGTGCATGACCCAGGGGTTCCTCTGAGCTCTCCCTAGAGAAAAGCATACTTACCACTCTCTGTGCCAGGGCCAGCGGTGGTGATCAAGACGAAGGAGACAGAGCCCTGTCCTCATCTGTATTTAAGCAGTGGAAACAGAGGAGGCTGCTAGTGAATATTAACCAATGTCACCCCAGTTATCTGAGAAGCAAACAGACAGGGACTAAGTCCATCGTCTAGCTGAGTGGCCCGCCTACACTGCTGTTTGCCTGTCCGGGAGTGTGCAGCTTTCTGCTCCATAACCAAAGAGACTCATTGTGCCTAGCTCAACATCCACAGCCTCCTCATGTGTCCACATGGAGCAGGTGGCATGAGTCAGATGGTCTCTGTGACAGCGGCACACCGCTGGTTCATGCTCTTGCAGGGAACCAGCAGGGGCAAGAGATATCATTTACGGAGCCAGCTGCCTAAGAAATGTCTGGCACTGAAGACTCATTACTTCCCTGGGGGGTCAGAGTGGGTTATGAGTGATAAGGAAACTGAGGCCCAGAGCAGAGATGTTGCTCCCTCCACAAAGCCACCCAGCCAGCTTTAGACACAAAGCACCTTATGGTTTCCCCTACTGGAAAATGGAGCATGACTGACAAGGACACAGTCACAACAGGCTAGCATGGAGTGCTCATGGCACAGGCTAGAGGCCGAGAATAAGCACGTAAAGAGCTATGCTGGGATAGGCAAATTGCTTCACCTCTCTGAACCAGGAGGCGTTTCCCCTGCATTTATAATGGCTCAAAAAATCCCATTTCCAAGCATGGTTGTTAGGAATATACAAAGTAACTTGGGTAAAGTGCCCCACCCCGCGGCCCACAGTAGGCTCTTTATTTGGGTCTGTACAGCTTGCTATACAACTGCTTTGAGAAGAAGGACATTCAATTTCTGGTTGTTCTGACCCGTTTCTGCCTTGACTCATGGAAGACCAGGGTAATTTGAAGGCCATTTGATTTTTCCTTGAGAACAAGGCTGCCATCCTGGGGCCACTGCAGGTCTTTGTGTTTTGGGGTGAGTGGGGTCAAGGCTAACAGAGCCTCACTTGATTGCAATCCTTCCAAACCTTGATGAGACTGCACCACCCTGTGCAGCTCCCGTGAGGCATGCTAGATGTTGTTTGGATGAGTGGTAGGTGGGCTTTCACCCTTCTCTGTTTCACTAGCCAATCCCCATTCTGCCTCTACCTGCCAGATGAGTGACCCACAGGACTATCTAGTACATGAGTTCAGACCGTGGAATGCATTCACTGCCTGTGAGTCCTCAGGGAAGTCCTTAAATTACTCTGTACCTCAGTTTCCCCATCTGTAAAATGGGAGCCATGACATGTCCCCATGATATACCACTTGGTGGCCTTCTGGGAGGACTACTGCAGCAGTTAAAAGGAAGCTCAGTGTCTGGTGCCAGGAGTGGCTCAGTCAGCCCTTGTGATGGTGACCTGTTTATGGGTCTCCTTAGGTCATGAAAGGGGAGAAGGGGCATTTCAGGAGCTTCCCTCCAAGCATCCTCTTATTCCCTGACCTCAGTGGACTCTGTGGGGGATGCATGTAGCCATCCCCCTTACAGGAAATGGGAAACTGAGCTCATCCCCTCCTCCCCACTCTTCCCCACCATCCCAACGCCCATGGCTGGCTATGCGGTCCTGGTCTTTCCTCAGAGCTGGCTGTGTGTGTTCCTCCCCCAGGGACTGTCTACTTCACATTCACTCATGGCTTGCAGAGCCAGGGAACGGCTGGGGTGAGGCTTGCCCTCCCTGCTCACTGGGCGTGTCTCCCTGTCTGTAGGCCTCTGCTTCTCCATCTTACAATGGACTCTCTTGAAGGCCAACTGTCCCTCTCATCTGTCGCAGTAGGTGGACAGAGGCAGGTGATTTGTCTTCCCTGTTCTCCCCAAACTCCACCCCTCTAGGCATGTAAGTGGCCTAGCGGCTGGTGGGAGATCCCCACCCCTACCTGGGATTCCTGGAGACTGTGAGGTGGGCCACGCCTCCTGTGGCTGCTGATTCCCAGTTCCTCCTCCACACAGATCAGTTCCAGGCTCCTAGGGGTAACTGAAGGTCATGGAGTCCTAAGCTCCCAGTCTCTGCCAACCTGCTAGGGAGGAAGACAGCTCCTGGTGCCAGAGGTGCTGGCTCCAGGAAGGGTGGGAAACCGGGGCAGGAAGGAACCTCAATCTGTGCCAGACCGGCCTATCCTTGTCCAGGCAGTCCTCCCTGCTACCTGTAGTAGCTGCTGTGTCCAGGCTGTGTGACACAGGACAGCTGACTCACACTGACTGAGGAATGGTCCCCTGGACCTCTGTTAGATGAATGGTGGCACTGGCTCAGAGAGTCACTAGAACTGACGGTCCTCACCCTTCTGGCGTAGAGCCCCGCCCCAGCATCTTGGCAGGTTTCCAGATCAGCTGCAGAGGAAAGAGGACTGCCCTGTGCTGCAGTGCCCAGCAGAGCCCCTGAGGCTGGGCAGGCTCTGTGTGTACTGGGAGGTGTATGTTACAGGTCCTGGCTGGGAGCAGAAGGGATCCCAGGGCAGTGCTGGGATATCTGGAGGGTAATGAAGAAAGGGCTTGGAGTGGGAGTGGCTGGGGCACATGAAGGACTCAGATGTGAGGGCCCCACCCTCTGGCATCAAGGGCTCCATGCTCATTCATTTGGGAAGGAGGGCTGGGATAGTCTGGGCAAATGAGCAAGGACACAGTTCACAGGGGAACTCACAGATTGTGGGTCCCATTATTGAGGGGCCTGTCCCACAAATCCCAGGCTTGGGGAAAGTCTGTCCGCTGGGTACTTCTGGAATCATCTATTTTAAGTCTGGGTTAATTCACTGGGAGTGAATGCATCATGGGGACATCCTATCAGCTTGTTGTAAATCAGGGACACGTGGGACTCTGCCTAGAGGTATGGGCTGGACGGTGCTGGACATGAAGCTTGGAGTCCGCCAGAGGACGGGAGCAGGCAAGCAGCCCTGGCCCAGTGGATCAAGGATGGGAGACTGGTGGGGCACTGATGGTGGAGCTCGGGGACATGGCCCTTGGTCAGAGCTCCCGGGAGAGTGTGTGACCTGGTGCATGCCCACACAGACACACCACATGCACCCTCAGGCGCCAGCTCCCTTCAGTGACAGGCACCCAGATTCAACCTCACCCCCACATACCCTTTCTCTCTCTCCGTGAGATCTTAGACAAGCCACTTAACCTCTCTGTGCCTGTGTCCTCATCTGTGAAATAGGACTATGAATGTCACTTTCTTCCTCCAGGAATATGAAGAGAAAGTGGGGTGACAGCATGTCAGGCTATGTGAGGCTTGAATAAGTGATGTGTGGGGGGACAGGCACTGTCTGTCTTCTCAAACTTGGGGATTCCAGGCTTTGTCTTCTGGGAGAAGACTTGAGTTAGCACCATGTTTGGCCTTCCCCTGACATCTTGCAAACCAACCAGCTTGCAACATCCTGGTGTTTTCCTTTGTGGGTAACCTCTGTGGTGGCTTCCTGTGTGGTAACACTTTCTGCCTTTTCTGGAACTATTTGGTTGTTCACAGTTTCTTGTTTTTACTTCTCACCCTTCCTCACAAAGTCAGGCAAATCTATGCACTGTACGCAATAATGTAGGCAATAGAAGGAATGAAAAGTTAATGGAAACAATGTTTTATTACAGGTAACCTTTTCTACACCTTACTTGAAAGTTGCTCTGGAAAGTTCTTAACCATCATGACTGTGAACTTGCACTTAAGAGATTCAGTAGTCCTATTCGCTATAATCCCCATTTCCTTTTTGATGACTAGTTGGTCACATTTTGGACAATAAAAGCCCTTTTAAGTGGCTCTTTTCTCCTTGAAGCCATCCTGCTGTCATTTCAGAGGAAGCACAATTTGAAATGACACGCCATCCCCATCTGAATCTTCTGCTGCAGGACACGGAATGGTGACTCCCTGTGGGGACATAAGAGAGCAGGGAGTAATGAGGACACTTAGGAGCCATGGGCAGGGTGGGGTGTACAGAACCTGCCTTTGCATGGGGGCTGAGGGACATCGACCAGACCTTTGGGACTTGTCATTCTGAAGCCTAACCCTGTGGGGTGACTCAGACACAGAGAGCCATGGTTCTTAGAACTTGCCCAACTCAGACCTTGGCTCAAAAAGGCCAACGACCCTGTTGACTTTTTCATGTTGACTCTGAGCATTTCTGTTTGCCTGGTGTCACTGAGTCCCTCATGGTTGTCATTTTCCAGTACATATTTCCAGATAGACTCCAACGTGGGATGTCACCTCTTACATCACCAACTGATACTTTTGGAGCACTCACTGTCTGCCAGGTTCTGTTGTAAATAGTTTGTGTGTAATAACTCACCCAGTCCTGGGTTGTGAGCACTATTTTTACCTCCTTTACACCAAAAACTTATAAATGAGCTTCAGATAAAGCAGAGAGGGTTTTGTTTGGGGGCAGAATAGATGTTCCAGTTGGGAGAACACAGGCTCAGCTTAGCAATGGGGTTAGGGCCCTATCAGGCAAGGCAGGACCAAGGCTTTTCTACAAAAGGAGCATCTTGGCTGGGCACTGGTGGCTCATGTCTGTAATCCTAGGTACTCAGGAGGCAGAGATCAGGAGAATCTCAGTTTGAAGCCAGCTCAGGCAAATATTCTTGAGACTCTAGTTCATCCATCACACACACAAAAAAAGGGCTGGTGGAGTGGTTTGAGGTATAGGCCCTGAGTTCAAACCTCAGCACCACACACACACACACACACAGACACACACACACAAAGGAGCATCTTTGGGGAAGCAAGCAAGATTAGGGTTAGCAAATTCAGTGTTCAGAAACTGCTGCAAACCAGGATTTTTATATATTTTGCAAGTCCATTGCCTTGTTCAGTCAAGAAGCTGACCAGGAAGCTAGGTTTTCTCAAACCTTGCAAGGTATGGAGAGGTTCTGGAAAACTGATCCTTTTGGTGAGGTTGGTTCCAGACATGATGCTTGCCCTCTTTTGGCATATTCTACAGCCATTGTGATGTTTGTGTAACCACTGCTTAGAACACTTAGTTGTGGGGAGTGGATTAAAGCCTATGAGAACTGGACACAAGCAAGGTGAGATGCAGTTAATTGCTTCTACCTGTAGGCAGAGATAGGCACAGCCCTTGGCCACGAAACAGGGAAAGGCATGACAGCTGCATCTCCTAAACTGTGTTCAGAGAAGCAGGAACACAGGATTCTCCTGTTCAGTGTCACACCCCTCCCCTGCTCCACCCTGTGTGCTGCTATAAAAGACCCCTGAAGGAGGAAGAGGGACTTTTGCTTTCTGCTTTTGGGACTTTACTTTGGGCTTTTTGGTGTGGGAAGCTTTTGGAAGGGAAAAGAATTGCTAAAGGGAAAGTGCTAAAGAGGGGCTGATAGAAAGTTTGCACCGAGAACTTTAACATAGGCTTCGGAAAGCAAAGCTGAGAAAGAACGTCATACAGAGGACTTAGGAAAGCTAAAGAAAAGCCAAAGAGAGCACGGGACAGTGCACTGTGCAAGTCTAAGGACAAGACTTTAAGAGTTGTGCACATGCAGGTTGTAGTTTCGGCTAAAGAGAGATGAGACGGTGCAAGCCTGGGGCAAAAGACTTTAAGATACATTAAGCTAAAGATAAGCTGAGAGCAAGCATGGGACAGTGCAGCCTAAGGAAAGAGGTTTCAAGCAAGGTTTTAAAGAACTGCAGGGAGAAAGGCCTTAAAGAATCAAGACAGAGAAGAGAAGCAATGAGGGTTGGGCGTCTCCAGCTGAGCATACAACACACCTGACCCCAAATTTCTTTCTGTCTACCCTATATCTTTTCCAAAATCTCCAGTAGCCCCTAATTAAGCCCAGTTATGTCCAGTAATAACCAAGGAGTGAGAGAGAAAAACCTCGCTCCAGCAAGGGAGGGAGCGTGAGAAACAGCGTCCCCTTCACTTAGTGAGGGCACTGAGGCATGGAGAGAGTACCTCAGCTGGCCGGCTTGCCTCCTCCCCACCTCCTTCCTCGCTTTCTCTCCCTCTGTGCTGCTTCCACCCACTCTGCACACCCATCCTTTTGTGACATGGTCATGATAGGTGCCAATTACTGAGCACGTGGCCTGAGCCACTGAGGGCACTTTACACAGATGCACTGTTCATCCTCACATCGTGCCATGAAGCCAATACTTTTGGAATTCATTTTACAGATGAGGTAAGCAAAGTTCCTTGGGGCAGAGGAATGAGATCACAGCCACTACAAGCCTGTTGAAGGGCAGAGGGAACATTCTAACCTGACCTTTGACTGTAGGTAGGGCCAGAGCACATAACCCTGACTCGACTACATCCCCAGACTGCAAGTTAGCTGAGAGCAGGGACTGTGTTTTTCCATGCTTTGACTTTGTTCTAAGCACAACATAGGAGATTCGAGGTAATCAGGAGAATAAAAATTCTTTTAGGTGGTTAAGTCTTCTTGCCAGAGTAAAAGTGCGAAAACCTTCAGGATGCTAAACATTTGTAAGGGGCATGTAACTACTTAGATTAAAAAACAAAACTGTGCCCAGAAAGGTGTTATGCACCTGTAATCCCAGCTCCTCGGGAGACTAAGGTAGGAGAATCGTGAGTTTGAGGCTACATAGCAAGACCTAGTCTCAAAAAAATTTCTTAAAAGACAAGCAAAATTCTGGTGGTGGTGGTGGTGGTGGGAACCAACCAAAACTAGTGTTTTGTTTGAGTTGGTCAAGAAGACTGAAGAGAGAGAGACAGCAGGCTAGGATGGCAGCCTAGGGTGGCCAAGCCTGGGATCCTCTGTCCTGAGGAACAGGTCATGGTGGGACAACAGAGTGAGGACTGAGGTAAGGCAATGAGATGTCACCTTGGAGAAGGAAATTGCATCATATCTCCCACCTCTCCTCCCATTCTCCTGGTTGGCCTCCTGAGGCTCCAACCTGGCCGGTGCAGGAGCCTCTCACCTTGACCTTCGTGCCAGGAGCTGACCAGCATATTCCCAGCAATTCTGATTAGTTACCTGATGATAGACAACCTGTTAGCCAATTTGTGTACCCAAGTGCTCATTTCCCCAACAACACTGCAAGGAGGAAATCGTACCTGCTCTGAAGGGGAGGCACAGACAGGCGAGCCCTCGTGCCACGTTCATACCCATCACTGTCTTTTCCCTGCTTTGACTTTTATTGATTTACTTTTTCTGAGGTGTACATGCAGCAAAAGCATAAATCCTAAATGCATTGCTCAACAAATGTTTACATTTGTGTACATTTGGGTAACCATCACTCTGAGCAGGACGGAGCACAAAACCATCCAGGCAGCCTCTCATTGTCCTTCCTGT